TGTAGTTCTTTTTTGTTCTAGGGCTTGTTGAGCTGTGCCCTCAGCATTAACCCTTTTGGGATCATGTGTGTGTGTACTTGGTGTGTGTTTGCGTGTGTGTGAACCTTTGTGGATTGTTGGCTTGGGCAGTTGCTTTATAATATAAAGCGGGGCGAAAGCCTTTTTTGATAATGTTATTCAACTGGCATGATATAACTAGGGTAATCTTCTCTGCACACTCCTTAGAGAAAAAAACATATTTTAGAGAGAAAAATATATTTTTCATGTTACGTGCAAACCCTCTTATAATGTTTTTAAAGTTCAGAAAGAATTTTGTAATCACTAATGGGCATTTGGTAACTTATCAATTAAACACCAATTTCGTATTCATTTTTTTGTTTTGTGTACATAAATGTATGATCCTCATGATTTTAGGTTCTCAACAATAAATCAACTAATGAAGGTAATAGCTCTTTACACTTGGTTAACTAACTCAAAAGGGAGATATAGAGTATCTCGATGATGCATCTAAATGCGGTCTTAGTCATCGGCGACTATGATTTATTTTTCTTCCATTGCAACGCACTGGTCCTTTTGCTTAGTTCATAACAATAATCATATGGATGTGCCGTGCACTCCACTCTGCATACCACGATCGCTATTCCTTTAGTTCGAAATTACTCGTCCAAGAAATGAATGTATCTAGATGTATTTTAGTTGTAGATACATCCATTTTTGTGACAAGTAATTTCGAACGGAGGAAGTAGTAGATGATAACATATCAGCAATCTTGTTGCCAGATGTATAATGATCAGAAAAGAGGCCGGGCCTAAAATGCGGTGCGAGCAATACCGCCACAGCACGACATGAAAATCAAAAGCCTCCCTATGAAGAAGAAAGGAAAGCCTTGCCGGTGCACGACACGATACTCGCCATATCGGGATCGGCATGGCATGCCGTGCACTCCACTGGCGCACAGTGCCACGCAATGATCGCATCCATCCATCACACAGACGGATCAGCCAGCCTTGCAAGGCGCACACTGCCATTTTGAAGCTACACTGCACGATGCGTTTTGTCCTCTCCGTTGGCGCCAAAAACACGCTACTGCGGAAAATGGAAGCTCTGCCACCCTGAAAAACCCCCGCAGGCCGCAGCACCACCTCCCCTGCCAAAGCTCTCTCACTCGCTCGGCACCGCTTCTCCAAGATTTCCTCCTCCCTCTTCCACCACTGACAACTGCATTCCACTCATGGACGGCGACCGGATCCGTGCGCGCCGGTGGGCGGACGAGGACGAGGATTTGCGGCCACTGAAGGTGGTGTTCGCGTCGCCGGCGGAGCACTTCACGGACTCGGCACCCATCGGGAACGGCAGCCTCGGTGCCATGGTTTGGGGCGGCGTCGCCTCCGAGAAGCTCCAGCTCAACCGTACGTACCAGCTACCTCCCCCGTTCCCTACGCTTTTGCCCTCGTCTTGAGTAGCTGCCTGTCATTCCTTGTTCACGACGGTTGTTTCAAACGGAGCACGTACCGGGATCAGATCAGCAAACCGGGTTGTGACTCATGAGTCATGACTCGACCAAGAACGGCACCTGGAGGGTGTTCGACGAAACTCCCGAACCAAACCACCCTCCCTTCCCTTATATGATTATCATGGCAAGTGAAAGGATAAAGTAACCATAATTGTTTTTGCAGTTGACACTCTCTGGAGCGGTGTGCCGGGAGATTACACCGCCCCGAAAGCACCTGCTGCCCTCGCCGTCGTCAGGAAGCTCGTCGACGACGGACGGTTCGTGGATGCCACCAGTGCGGCTTCGGGCCTTTTCGGTGCTCAAACAGAGGTATGCTATATGCCATGCTGTTCTGCTTTGCACGTCAGAGCATGCTATTGATTGTTGTGTCGCGGTGAGGCCAGACCTAGCACCATGAATTCCTTGGCCCTTGCCGTCGTTGAGTATTGTTCCCAATTACGATATGATGCATCGTACTGCACATTAAATGTGTGTTTTACTTCGTTATATAGTTGGGCCTTTGGTTCACGATATATGCAACATTTTAGCCGTTACTGCACCATGGCTGTATGGTCCGTTGGCAAAAAAAATGTTGGAAGAGCAAGAGACCTTTTTTTGTCTTACTTGTAAAAACCACTTAAGGTAAAAGGTCATTGTTTCGTTAACTTGTTATAAGTTGAAAAGTAGCATGCTTATTTCCAAAAATAGCATATCTTAGCCGAAGAAATTGAACTAAACTTACCATTGATTTTCAAGTTAAAGGTTATTGTTGCAAGATGCAGTATTACGCAATAGAAGTTCGTAACACTATCTTATCTTGATGCTATGAAGGTCTACAAACCTCTTGGAGATATGAATCTAGAGTTTGACACATCCAATCAGGAGTATAGTTCCTACAAAAGGGAGCTTGATCTGCATACTGCTACAACAATTATCACGTACAACATTGGAGAAGTTCAGTACACAAGGGAGCACTTCTGCTCAAATCCACACCAGGTCATTGTTACCAAGATTTCAGCAAACAAACCAGAACATGTATCATTGACTTTATCGTTAAATAGTAAGTTAAACCACAGAGTTCGTGTAATGAATGCAAATGAGATGATTATGGATGGCACCTGTCCAGCACAAGGACACAAGCTACAAGAAAATGAAGCCAGCGATGCTACTGGTATCGGGTTTGCAGCTGTCCTTAGCCTGCAGATGAGCGGCACTGCTGCAAAAGTAGCAGTTCTAAATGATCAGAGTTTGAGAGTTGACAATGCAGATTGGGTGCTTTTGCGGGTTACAGCTGCTTCCTCATTCAGTGGGCCTCTCGTGAATCCGTCAGACTCAAAACTGGATCCTGAATCAGCAGCTCTGAGGGCCATGAATATGAGTACGAATTTCACCATGTTAGTCTGCGGCTATCACAAGCACCAGCTATAGAAAAAATAAACATGAAAGAAGTTGGTGAAGCCATCAAGACTACAGAAGAAAGAGTGAATGGTTTTCGAAGCGACGAGGATTCTTCTTTGGTTGAACTTCTCTTCCAATATGGTCGATATCTGCTCATTTCATGCTCTCGACCTGGAACACAGATATCTAATCTGCAAGGAATTTGGAATCAAGATCTCGTGCCTGGATGGGAGTAAGTTATTCTTATGTCTAAAGTTATTGCATCGATATCCTTTATTTTTCATTTCCCTTATCTGTTTTTTATATGTGAGGCGACAACTACCTACTCTAATACATGCACTTGCTGATGAATTGATTATAAAATATCTGACTTGCTAACTAAGGCAACTGGGAGATATTGCTGGGGGCTGCAGTTGGCCAGAAAGGCTTTCATTTATAATCGTTCCCTCACATGAAACTTCCATTTTTTTTCTCGAGATGTCATTTTCTCTTTTCTGTTTGTGGTCCATTTAGGTGGTGTTTTGATTAGGGGGGGAGGAGATTTAGTTTCAAATTTGAACCAAGTCTGGGAATTCCCTTTCTCGCTATGTGAATAGGGCCTTAAGAATCAAATATTCATACTGTTTTAATTTTGCAGCTGTGCTCCGCACCTCAACATAAATCTTCAGATGAATTATTGGCCAACACTTCCTTGCAACCTTACTGAATGCGAAGAACCACTGCTTGATTTCATAGCAGCTCTTGCAGTTAACGGAACTAAGACTGCAAAAGTAAGTTCTACTGCTTTCAATATTTGATTTTAGTGAAACAGCGAGGTTACCACAAATATGAGTAGCATGAGAATAGAATTGTAATACCTTGCGGAGTTATACTAGGGAGAAATATGTCATATGCCACCAGACAACACATGACCAAGTTTGTAAAGGCATCACTGAAATCTACTTACTGAACAGTTTAATTTCTTAGGTCCCACGACAGTTGCTACAGATGTGTTATCTCGCCGCGGGAGCTAAACACACACACACACACACACACACACACACACACACACACACACACACACACACACATGTGCATGTCGGTAGACTATCTGATTTAGATGCATGACACAAAGGTAGACAGGTAGTCACTGAACTTTAGATTTTGTTCTGATTGCTTAGTCCTGCAAACAGTAATTTTGTTTATGATAATCGTGCTTATACTTGTTAACTCTAAACTGAGGCGAAGTTACCTAGACGAGATCAGTGTCTTTCTTCCATTCATAACATACTTAACATGTAGAAGAATCAAAACATCTGATTGCTGGGGAATTCTTTGTTTGTGACAGATCAATTACCAAGCAAGTGGCTGGGTAACTCACCACGTCTCAGACATATGGGCAAAATCATCAGCTTACAATGAAGATGCCAAGTTCTCAGTGTGGCCAATGGGGGGTGCCTGGCTTTGTACGCATCTTTGGGAGCACTACCAGTATTTATTGGACAAAGTAAGAAATAGATATGCTTTAATATTGTTAGCTCATATCAATATTCTTACTGTATTATTTTGCAAATCTAGTCTGGTTACAACTTCTCAATGTTTTGCAAGTTTTATTTACCACATTTTTATTCTCTTATTGTGCAACTTGTCTTCGATTCATTACTACCTTGATACTGACATAATTACGGGGTTCTGCAACACTGGAATGCTTTCTGAAACTATATTTCTTGTTAAAACTGTATCAAGGATGTCCCAGTGTTCCTACAGCAGTATCATTTGGCATCTCACAGTTTTGAAATTCTTATTATTCTTTTAAGTTTCTTCTAGGACTTTTTGAAGAACACTGCATATCCATTGTTGGAAGGATGTGCGCAGTTTCTGACTGATTGGTTGATTGAGGGACCTCGAGGTCTTTTGGAAACAAACCCCTCTACTTCTCCCGAGCATGTTTTCATTGCTCCAGGCACTGGTGGTCAGCAAGCTAGTGTAAGCTATTCAACTACAATGGATATTGCAATCATCCGAGAGATATTTTCGGCAGTCATTTCTTCTGCAGAGGTAACAATTAATGCCGTAACTGGTTATAACACTATAAAACATAATCAGAAAGATAAAAAATATATGCTGGTGTAGTTTCTTTTGTTGTTGTTTGTGAAATATGTGTTGACTCGATCATCTCTCAAGATAATATTTTGATGCTACTACACAACAGATTTTAGGAAAATCTGATACTCCTCTGGTCCAGAAGATCAAGGAAGCGCTTCCAAGGCTCCCTCAGAATACGATTGCTGAAGATCAAACACTCATGGAATGGGTAAATGCTCAAGCTCTGCTTGGGTTTGGATTTATTTCTATTATAATATGACTCACATCTTGGTGTTTTTCACGGAGGCACAAGATTTTAAGGACGCTGAAGTTACCCATCGGCACCTGTCACATCTCTTCGGTCTTTATCCTGGTCATACTATAACTATGCAGAGAAATCCTGAGATTTGCGAAGCTATTTCTAATAGTCTTCACAAACGAGGTTTGCATAACACAAGGAATAACTGCATTTAATTACGTATTATTAAGTGTCAACGTAGTATATAACTAAATAAATGGATGTTAATGCTCTGTTTACCTGAATATGGGATGCAGTCCTAGGGTTTTCCGGCTTAAACGAGCTTTGCCCTAGTTACTAACATGTTAAAATATATTTTTATACAGTGTCATAAACATCTATGGACCAAATATAGTAATGGATACAGCAGATTAGTCTTATGGTTTTACTTGTTCAGTATAAAATAGCTTATGCTTTCCTTACAGTACATGTCTACATTTGATATGTCCT